GAACTCATATTAATATCCTCATTCCTCAAGGCAATTGGTTAGTGAATAGACTAGCAAAAAAGAATGGAAAAGACACAACCCTCTTCCTCCTCTACTGCTCCTCTTCATGCAGCAGAAATTGGTTCCCAAACTCTTCTAGCAACAGATTGAATAATATGATTTTAAACCAATTGTTTCTTCAACATACAGATTATCTGGATGCAGTTCCATGTTGAACTAACTTGCTATCTCATGACTGAAGCTTTAGTTATGCTAAGAAAAAGTCACTTAGAAAGGTATGTACTGAGTGTAATGTAATCTACTGCAATAAATGATGGCTTGGATCTAAAGAACTGTGGGTGGAAAGAGAAGAAGTCCTAGTGCAGTTCCATGAATTCTTCTGCAAGCTAGCCAGGGACTTCTGGTGGTACAGTGCATTACGGTGCAGTCCTCTAGGATGCTGGTCACCTTCAACATTCAGAAGATGGAGGGACTTGTGCAGGCAACCAAGTGGAGGGATGTGCGGAGGCAAAGGGCACCACTCTGCAAAGAGCTAGATAGCAGGTTCGGCCATCTCATTGTGGTGCTTTGGAGGGAGAGGAGGAGGCTGAAGCCTTGTTGGGACATGTTGTTCCTTGGTTGCACTGACTCCGTGCCTCCCAGAATTCCCCTTAAGTCCTTCTCAAGAGATGCACTGGCTGCAGAGATGGGGCAAACATGGCCCTCTCACTACTCTCTGAAGGTCACAGAATTGCTGTCAATGTATCCAAAGTGTTCTAGCATGATGAGAAACATAAAGAAGACTCAGGGTGTAGCAAGTATGGCCATTAAAAGGTTTTGAGAGAGAACGTATGAATATTTATTTTATTTTATTTTATGTATTTTATTTTAAAGCTTTTATAACCCATCCACCACTAACATCTTGGGATGGCTTACAAAAAAAGCAATAAATATAATGAAAGAAAACAAAGCAATGAAAGAAAACAAAGCACAACATCTGACATCTCAATATTGATAAAACCCAGATTAAAACCAATTAGGCATTAATTTCCAGGGAGCGGTTCCTTAAGTTCTTATGCAAACAAAGACCTCTCTGGGTCCATGGCAAAGTGGCACTTCTCTACTAGGTTGGAAACAGCCCGTCTGTGAATGGAAAGGCTTTCTGCTAGCAGAAGGCACCTTTGAATCCAAGGGCACCACAATATGCTGGCACTGAACTGCATTACATTATACTCTCTGATGTCCCGGCATAGGTTAAACTTTACGACTGCTATTCCCATCCCACTGAATCTAATGGGAATCTCAAGTTTAATTCCAACCTAACTGAAATGCAAGAACAAACAAAACAGATTAAAGTACTGCACCCAAAACAAACCCCTGTCCTTAGCAAAGCTGCTGTTTATTTAGGGGAGGGAGTCATATGTCTAAAGAGTGAGACAAATCCACAGTGAAATGATGAACTGCAAAGCCCAAGTATTCTTGGCAGAAGACAGGAATAGGGCCTTTTCCTCCCAAAAGAGAAACAAAGGATTCCTGAAAAGCCTTACATTGATTTATTTTTCCAATTTCAAATACCTTAGGAGTAGCGGAACTGCTACTGGCATGGTAGTATTACTAACAGTCAATAAATTTAAAATATTATGTGTGAATATTGGAATGAAGCCATTAAGAAGATTACAGCACCCAACGCAGCAGAGGGTCCACATGGAAAAAGGACGGGTAATTCAGGACAACTGTGACCGCTGACCTTTGAAGAGTCAAGACCACTGGTCAATCTGACAAACTAATAGAGTTCACATGCATAGAAAGTCATCTAGCCTGTAAGTATAATTTAAATGCTTTGGTGAATGATTTAAAAAGGCCTGTTAAGTCTCAGGTAATTTATTAAACAGTTGATTAGACGCAATGCCAAACAGTAATGTTTTTCAGATTTCAACTGATAACTTTTCTTTAAAATGAAAAGACGTTCACAACAAGTGAGATACTGCAAGATTAAACTGCTATGAACTATCATCTGTTACACAACTGTAAAGATAACAGTTGATTTAAGCATTATATAATGATATAAAAACTTAAGACTAGCTATATGAAGTTTTGTAATCCAGGAGACCAAACAGTAGTTCCAATTTTTAAGAACATCAACACTTTAGGGATCATTCTGAATTAAGTGTCAGGTCATGGCAGTAAATCTAAAGCTTCATTTCTGTGTTCATTTTTCAACTGACTTTGCTGCTGCTTACTTGATTTGTTTTCACACGAGTTCACTTTGAGACATTACTTAGATATAAAAAGTAACCTGATACGCACACGCATTCACATTTATTCCTCTACTGTATATTAAAGAATTATATAAATATTTATATTGTTTGGTATTAACTTTTCAGTCTTACTTATTCTTAATATCAGACAACATACCATCAACAATATTGGTGGAATATACTGTCAACATTGATAAAAGTACATGAATACTTGCACTTACTGTTAATGACATAATGTGGTCCTTTGTTGGTTTATAAGCTAAAAACTGTTTAGAGCTCTATTTGCAGCCTATGTTTGGACGTGTTTTTAATTAACAAATTGGCTCCACAAGAACAGCTTTCACAGTAAAGTTAGAATGAAAGGGATTGGGATAGTCAAACATCAAGTAACAGAACAAACCTTGTTTTAACAGAGAGAGGAAAGTCAAATTATATAAAGTATACATGAGATTTTTCTAGTGGTATTACATATTTTATAGGGAATGTTGTGTTTTTGTAAAGGGACCATTGTCTGCTCAGTGAAAATAACCCCTTATTAATATTGCTGGCTTGCAGTGATGCATGTAGTTGCAGCTGTTTATCCACAAAGATTGAAGTGTGTTTTCACTAAATATTTGCCCCAATTCACTGATGTTTCCTTTTTATGTACAAGAACCTGATGCATCAAGGAAGTAAACCTGGGACCTTTGTAGTAGACCACTGTATTTAATTTAGCCCATCCTACTAAGATTATTCACGGAGATTTCCTGATGAATTTATTTTATGAAATGTACGCGAACCGAAACATTTATTTAGTTAGATAAATGGAATGTGGGGATGTAAACATTGTATGTAGTTATTGCTATTATCAGCCAGATTAGTGGCCTTCTTCACACATCATGCATTTAAAAAGGCCCCTTATTAAGATTGTCTCCTGACAATGGGAAGTGCTTTGTGTGCTTTGCCCAACTAAGACAGAGAGCTTCCTAGCAACAATCTAGGAAAATGTAACATTCACATAGCAAGGTTCTAAGTAGTCCATCATTTGGTTAAAAAAGTTAGACTGTCTGTTTGGTCAGTTATTTCTCATGTGCCTAGTGCAGCCTATGGGCATAATATAAATCCCACACAATAGGAAATCCTCATTGTGTCCAACAAGCACAGTGCTTTTCACAAGAATAGAGCGATCCCTCTGCATGTGCTTTGAAATGATTGAACTGTAGCTCTAGGGTGTAATTAGCTCATTTAATTATTGGTGATATACATGTCAGAGGTCTAAACGACTATATCCCCTTAATGCAAGGTCAACACATACAATCTGATCAATGAATGAATAACTTTTGAGGAGCACAATAATAGATTAAAATTTGTTCCAATAATTAGGCATTAGGATAAGATCGGTTATGCATTCAAAAATAAGCTAACAAGCAGCAGAATCAGCTGTGAAAATGCCATTTTTGCTTCTTGTTTTTCTTCCAAAACAAACAAATATGCATATTTAATTTGCTCCTGGTTAGGCTAAATTACTTCAAAAGGTATGCAATAACATAAACAAAGCTTATAAGAAAATACATGTTTTGAGTGTTCCAAATAAATTATTATCAAAGAAGGCTTCCTTGTTATAATATAATAAATATACTCTATTTAAGCATAGCACACCTTAACATGGTGAATAGTTTTAAAGAAATTACAAAAGACAGCATTCATTTTAGGAAAAATTGAATATCATTTCATTTTCCTTCTGGAACATTCACCAATATGTATCAATGCAACAATAGCTGTGGCTGCATTCTGAGTAAAATATGCACAAAAATATTGTATGTTAAAAAGGCTTTTTTTTTTTTTTTTTTTTACAAAACCAGGTTGTAGAATAGCAAGGAAAAGTAAAATGCTATTTTTGGGTGTCTATTTAACATGAAAGGTGGAATACGTTCCATCATATGCTGCAAGGGCGGTATTGGTAGGGATCTCTAGAAGATCAAAGTGCAAGAGGAACTGCCACTTAATTTATCTTCCTTTACAGACAAAAGACAGTTTTCGTCATTTTCAAAAGGATCCAATGTCTTTTATGACAAACTCGGTTTGCAGTTTAATTTACAAATAGAATTATAAGTAAGTAGTCTTTGCTCTGCCAAAGCAAATGACAAACAGAGTAGGGTTTTCAATTCGTGCAGTCCTCAGCAGGATAGAATAGATTAAAATAAAACTGCAATAATTTAGAGAAAACAAATAAATGTTTCAGAAAGTTGAAGGAGATCAAAGCGTGCATTTTCTGACCCCAACTGTACAAGCATTTCTTATTATATTGACCAATGTCATCAGATCATTAATTAAAAGGAGATGTGCTGGCAGGTGGCAGAGAACCAGAAGCCGATAATTGGCCCCCTTCTTCTTTTTGCCTTCAAAAACTCCTCTTTTTTTTTTCTTTGCAAGATATGCCACTAGGCAGACAGAAATGCCTACTTTGTAATATAATGATTAAGATGAGATGAAGAGACTCTTGCGTTTAAAGCTGCAATGCCTAATGAATGCAGCTAGCTTTATCATTATGATCCTTTTTTTTTACAATAAGAAGTATGATACCCCACTCAACATGTCCTCAACTGTCAAAACCAAGTTAAAAAAAACAACAAAACACCCTTAAATAGGAAGTCTACAGCTGGTGGCATGGTGTTTGATGGGGGAAGGGTATTCTTTTCATTACAGGCTAGTAAAGGCAGGTAGCATATAGTAATTCAAGCAGCTAAGAGATTAAAACCAATGGATAAAACCTCCTGGGCTTACCACTTCACTTGGTAGATTGCTCAGGTCATTAAAAGGGGTCTCCAAAGTGTTGGTGTCAACATTTAGCACCACCACATCCTCCAGTGATTTGTTTTTCACTCTCTGTACAAGACAAAACCAGTTGCACCCATTTTAATATGGTAAAACACTATGGAAAACTGTGGATCCAGTGAAGGAGGATATGACAAAAAAGGCAATATTTGCATGGTCAGCATTTTATCCTAAAGACCAGCACAGGATCATTAAGGAATTCACCTCCATAGGATGAACCATAGAAACATAGAATAGTAGAGTTGGAAGGGGCCAAGAAGACCGTTGGGTCCAATCCCCTGCTGTTGCAGGACATCACCATCCCACTCAGATAGCCACCCAATTTCTTTTTGAATGTCTCTACTGTGGGAGAGCCCACCGCCTCTCCAGGCAGCTGGTTCCACTGTCGTATTGCTCTGACTGTGAGGAAGCTTTTCCTGATATCTACCCTGAATCTGGGTTGTGGCAGCTTAACTTGATTATCCTTGATATGTCTTGCTTGATATGTCTTGCACTCTGGTATCAGCAAAAAGAGATCCTGACCTTCTTCTTTGGTAATTATTACCTTAGATGACTTTGAAAGGGAATTAGATAAATTCAGGGAGGATGATGCTGTCAATAGCTACACGCAACGATGAATAAGTGGAACCTCCATGTTCAGAGGCACCTAAGAATAGTTTGCTGGGGATCATACAATAGATGGACTATTTCTTTATCCTTGCTTCCTGGAAGCACTTCCTTGTCCACTGCAGGAAATACTGGGGTGATTTTTTTTTTCAAATGGAAATGTCAAATGGAAAAGAAAACCTGACTCACCTCCATTAAACTGAAGTGAACTCCAATCAAGTATGGCATTGGTGCACTGAAATGTAAAGAAAAATGAAATACAATAAATACATACATGAGTCAAATGACTAGTCTCTTCACCTTTGTCATATATACCTGGTTCAATGTCAAAGTAACTTGGTAGCTCACAATTTTTAATAAAGCTCAGATGTTCTTAGTGGAAGTAGCATTACATTCTTAGCAGTATGTGCTGCAAGATGGAACTCCTCACGTTAAAATCCAGTTGTTAAGGTCCCAAGTGTAATTTGGACACCATATAGCCCACTTTACAGTATTCTGGCAAAGACTAAGATGACACATATTGATTAATATGATTATCGTCTAATATCATATTAAACTAGTTATGTACTAGCTATGGTACTAGCAATGGTACTAGCAATGGTGAGTACTAGCTATGATAAGTAGATTGCCTAAGACTTCCCCCATCTTTGAGTGTTCAGACTCCAATGCCAATGATTCAGCCTTTCCATTAACTTTAGATGCATAGATTGATATAGGGATCTAGCTGTCTCATTCCAATTACTATCTTCTTTCTCCCTCAGCTTTGTATTTCTGGCACTTGGTAACTCATCTCTTTTCCCCCTAAATTGTCAGTAGGCATTTAACTGCAATAAGCTAGAGCAGCCTTCTCCAGCCTGGTGGCTACCAATTTTTTCAGATGGATTCCATAGATTTGTTCCTGCTGGCTGGGACTGACGGGAATTTGTCCAAAACATCTTGAGAGCACCAGATTGGAGAAGGCTGGTCTAGGCCCTGTTATACAAAAAATTAACAGAAATTATGTCAGTATATTTTAGTTGACTATTACCGCATTTGCTAATATTTATTATTACTATCTGCTGGGGAAACTTTTGTAAGGATTTGGCATAATGGTACTTTGTTTACCATTAGAGAGGATTTTAGCTTACTTTTTAATATTCTGACAAGACAGGATGTTATAATATCAGAAAGATAAAAGGGAAATTTAAGGGAGGTTCAGGTAGATTATTAGTGTTTTGCAAAGTAGTTCAACAGGTTAGCAACAGAATTGAACAGAACAGAATAGTGAAATTCTATTCACTAGCCTATTGATGAAATTGGTCTAGTCCACAGCATCTATCTAATATGGACTTCAAGAGAAATGAATGTTTGAATCAAAATGGCAAATAATCTCAAATGTGAGACATGAAAGTATGGCTTTTAAACATGTGTAATAAAGTATATTTTTCTTTCATGGCATCGCTTACCTTTGTGCATATTATTATGTATAAGAAGCCTTAGTTAATCAGAGAGCCTTGTGATATGCCCCTTGCCAAAACCCAACAGCTGATGAAGTGGGGACAACAAACAAACAAACAAACTAGGAGCCAGGAGCTATAAACTAGTTATTTTATTAGTCATTTAAGTGGATGGCAATTCATCTGTAATAAATAGCATTCCCTCACAAATTAGCCTGAGGCATTCTCTATGATTCCTCCCCCCGCCCCCCTTTTCTTCAATGAAAAATTTCTCGTGCAGGCCCATCAGTTGATTTTTCTAAACTTTATAATAAACAGACTTAACGTTTGAATTGACTCAACTGAAATGTTTGATCTAGGATGGATCATTCACAGTACAAGTCATCACTTGAGGCTGCTGTTATCACACAATGAGCTTGCACGTGTGAACAAGTCTTAGATGTTCACAACATCCAGATTTAGGCTGGCTTCATTTTTATTTATTTTGTACTAGTCAATAGATTGGCTTCTGCAGCTGCTTACAATTGTTATGTTGTAAGTCAAAAGAACTGCAGAGTTAGAATGGTTAAGCAGTACAATTGAGTGGTAAGTTGTGTGCCCACATTAGTTTATTGGGCCCTTCCAAAGTCAACAGTCCCCTGAAACATAAATTAGCATTTCCAAAGAAATCTGTGAGCAAAAGGACCAACACCAACATTCTTTATATTACAGGACCAAATGCATCTCTCTAAAAGCTAAACAATATGCCATCAGCATTCCTCCAAATACTTTGGAGCTACTGCTTCATTATGTGTCCTTCTGGTATGGATGTGTGCATATAGTTAAAGAAACAAAGACCATAATCTTGGGGAAGGTGGGGGGGGGGGACACATTCCATTTGTTGCTGTGGCAAAGACCAAGTGGGTGGCACCAAAGTCTTCACACACTGGCCCCTCACCCAAAGAAATGGGACTATTGGGATATTTCATAAAGTGGAGTGGAGAATGTGACCACAACAATATCGAATTTTATTACTGTATTTTATTAATTGCAGCCAGAGTGGGTTATCAATTTATTTATGCTGTTAGCTGTCCAGAGACGTTAGTAATTGGATGGCATACAAATTTTATAAATAAAATAAATAACAGTCCATGTGCAGTAAGGAAGAATATTAGCTAAAGTTGGCATAAAGATTGTCCCATATTAGGTTCGTTTCACCTCCTGGTAGGTGCTTAAAAGTAAGGAATTCCTACATCTAACTAGGGATTTCTCCAACAACTTCCTTGTGTGGAGGTCCACAGTGGAGGGCCAAAAAAGTGGAGTTCCATTGTGCCAACACACACACACACACACACACACACACACACACAGTGAAACACATTGCCATCTGTTGGGGCTCCTTTAGTAAAGAGACACGGTTGCCAGTTTGAGTAACCCTATCAATTCACAATGCATTATTTCCTACCAATATAATAAAGCTACAAATGATTAATAAAAGTGGTATTAAATACACATAAGAAACTCTTCCTTTAGCAGTACTACAGTATGTGTTCAAATGAATGCTTTCCAAAATAGATAAATGCCCAAGACAAGGCTATACCTCATTAACAACAAAGTGTTTTGGCTATATATGGTTCCTTTACTCAGTAGCAGAATTTTAATTTTGCATATCTGAGGGCTCAAAATGTTGTTTTTTCTAATCTCCCTCTTGATTAGTGGTGAAGGGTTTGGGACCATGAAAACCTTAAAGTACGGATCAAAAAAACCCCAAAACATAAAGTGGTTATGTAAACAGAAACTGCTGTCTATCTTTTTATCTCTGAACATGTTGATGCAAAGAAAAAAGGCTTCATTCTAATATTTGTGTGTGTGTGTGTGTACCAGATCTGAATGGAGAGAAAGAAAGGCTTGTGAGATGATGTAAATGAAATAAGGTGAATAAAACTTGGTTCAATGTGGTTGTGATTTACAAACAACACATTTTCACACATGTATATTCGGTGTAGCCTTAGCATGTACTGACAGCCTGTTTTACTTAAATTCTGAGCCTAGCAAAACATAAAATGATATATTCCAGAATTTCAGCATTTTCTGTTCCAGAAAGCTTCCAGCATATGGCAAAAGAATTCCAGCCAGAGCCAGGTCCAGTGCATGGCACCCATCCTCCACTGGGGAGCTGATAATGATTTCTTCAGCAGCCCCTTCTGCAATGCAAATGCAGCTGGTGCCTGCCACCTAAACATGTCTCACAGACCCTGTGCACTTAAAGCTTTTGTTCCTCTGCTGATTATCCAGCTCCAGTTCTTCAGCAATCCTGTGAAGGCTTCATCCTTATGAAAGAACACAACTCATTCTCTTCTGCATTTTTCCATTTTCAACAGCCAAAGGATGGTCAGAGTGATTTGAAACTGAAGTGGGTAGCACTTCCTAATATATTGCTTATATTCTTCTCTCTCTCTCTCTCTCTCTCTCTCTCTCTCTCTCTCTCTCTCTCTCTCTCTCTCTCTCTCTCTCTCAGGTTATCATCTCATGCAGTCTGCCCTGCATTTTCCCAAACAGGTACCCATTTTGATGGTATTGATTACCTGTCACAGCATAGTCTTTTGTGTTCAGATGCACGTGGCCAGCAAAATTCAAGGGTCACAGGAGGGATTCAACAAGGGAATGGCTTGCAACATAGGGAATGTGTGCTGGGACCAATTTATGTCCCTCATTCATGACATGCATCGTAGGCACAGATGACCTAACACCAGGTTCACCTGAGACACGCTGATACAGTATTGCTAGCCAGGATGGGGTTGCTGGTTAAAGCAAACTGAGGAACTAAAACTGCAGAGTTTTCCACACTCTGTGTAATTCTGGCAGCAAAACTTCTCTTCATACCATCTGAATACTCACTCCCTTTTCAGTAAATATGGCAGAGAACACCATCCAATGTGACTTTCCTTCTGTGAGCCCTGCTGACATGCCCCATTTCAGAAACAAGCATTGCCACTTCTTCCAGGTGGCCTCTAAAGGTGCTGAAACTCCACTGGGCAAGCGGTGGGCACTCTGTGTGCAAAAGAATCAATGAGGCTGGCCACTCACAGACGGCCACTTCTGGATTCTGCCCAGCATATCCGAGAAGTCACCTCTGATTCTTGGGGTGACACATTGCTTCGTACGCAATACCCCTCTCATAGCAGCAACCCTGTTTGGGAGGCATGCATGAACAGGGCTAATTATTCTTGTAGTGGCATATTCCTACCTTGAGAATTTGAACACAGAAGCTTGGCTGAGGGATGCCACTTCATATGCTGCAGAACCTGCTATAATGCCTATGAGGTCCAGCTTGGTTGGTTGGTTGGTTGGTTATTTATTTATTTATTTTATATCCTGCATTTTTCCTCTTGCAAGGAACCCTCTTCATCCTCTCCATTTCATTCTCACAACAACCCTGTAGGTAGACTAGACTGAAGGTCAATGACTGGCCCAAAGGTATCCAGTGAGTTTCAGGACTGAATGGGGACTAGAAGCTGAGTCGCCCAAGACGTTCCAGTCCAACACTCTTACCCACGATGCTTCGCTGGTCCTCTGGCTGCACTAGTCTGTTTAAAAGAGATTTCAATGCTGAACTGGCAGTTAGTCATGGTTATAAAGTGTTAGTCCCAGGGCCAGAGATTACACTATTGAAATTAGAGGTGGGTTTGGATCCCAGCTGCATTCTTCCTAGATTTCATTAGCCACATTAGTGTCAGTTTCCATTGGTAAACTGGGAATTGAACAGGCATTGTATAGATTATATGAAAAGGTACACCAAGAGCCCTGCATTTTATAATATATTAAAAATCACTTCAACAGCTGTTGCTAATGCTTCTATTGTTATTAATAACAACATGCACAGGAACAGAGCTGCATGGGTCAGAATGAACCTGCTGGCTTCCTGGAAATTACATTCATTATTTCAAGTTGTTGGAGCCCAGTCATGGAACACTCCCATAATTGCTAATTCCTCCTTCCCCTTGCAGGTCTCTGGGGTTCGGGCACTCCATAGAACCACGTGGGAAGCTGTGTGTGGAAGTCAACCAAGCTCTTGCCGCCGCGTCTTCTGCTAGAGGAAACCTCTACAGAATGCCTTGCATCCTGGACACAATCCAAGGTATTGCTGTTAAAATTTCCAAAGCACACTGAGCTGTTATGCCGAATTTATAACAGAAGCAGCAGCAGCAGCAGCAGCAGCAGCAGCAGCGGATTCTCATTTCAAGAAAAAGGTCAAACATGATTCCAACAGTTCATCCTGCTTCATACTTAAAATGAAAATGGATACTGCTTAGCACGATCAGTTTCTGGAAAGCAGATTATGTCAGTAGAGAAAATGCACTGGAAGTAGGCACTCTGATGGAAGCATGAAAATAATCACCACAATTAAGATGTGTGTGTGTGTGCCTTTTTGCTAATCACTTGTGCATGTTATTACTGAAAGATGTTTTTAATCTAGAGCATCATTTCCTACAATAATTGCTGTTTTAAACAGAACGTGGTAGTTAACAGGAAAATAATTAAAGTTTTCTCATGAAAAGAGGCATGTCTATGTCTTACAGCAGAAAGAGGGGAAATCTCATAGGAAGTCATTTTGCAGCTCTTAGGTAGAATTGTCTAATCCTGTTAGAGTGCTAATAGAGCTTCTAAAAACAGATGCTTCATTATGCAATGTACCTTACTCTCATGCAGCGACATCCCAGAAAAGCTAGATAGGAAAGACATTATACCAAACAGTCTATGCAATTGCCCCTTTGTTGTGCAAAACTTAAGCTGCATCAATGTTGAAATTTAGTTATATATAGAAGAGGTAATCAGACTACCAGGATGACTGGACAGCACTTGCAAAGAATACAGACATTTTTCAAATATCCTGAACTTTCTCTCCATATTTGAGACAACATAAATTAACATTGTCCTTGGGGACGGGAGAGAAATCTCCTTTTAGCTTAGTCACCATGTTAGTTTGGGAATATTTATTCATCTGTGCTGGACTTATTAATTCCAATAACATGATTACCTTCTTTAACAGGTCCTCAGTTTCTTTTCTTATTAGCTATCCAAATGCACTGTCTATATGACAATGAGGCAGATTCTTAAATATGTGCCAGTCAATTTAAATGTTAAGATTGGTATCACACATAATTATGCACAGAAGTTGCCCAATAAGCTGTAAACTACGATAGCATATACAACACTTCTGCAAGTAAAAACACAAACAGCAACTGATCATTTATACACTACATTAATAAAGCTGAAAAGGCTGGAATCCAATGACTCACTGAATGAACAGGGACCTCCTGGCAATCTTTTGAGTTAAAAAATATGGTATGTGCAGCATTTTCTTTCATATACTACAGAAAAGGAAGTCCCTACACAAATACAACTTTGGACTATGTTTACCAGCAATTTCACTGGTATAAGTTCCAATAAATCACATTTTGATGTTTTAGTCTTGCACTGCTGCCATAAAGAATATTAAGCATGCGCTTTTGACATGCATTATGTACCTATGCCAAACAGAAGAGTTTCAGTAGCACTGGCTTTATTCTATAGTTTGGAAATCACCTTAAGAAGCTCCTAAATTAAACAACTTGAAGTTAGCTTGCTCAATGGTCACAGAGGAAAATAATAATATATATTTGCCATCCTACCAGCAGTAGTCCAGGAGATGTGGAGGAAGCACTGGGATGTATATATGTTGCCAGTACATTGGATATAGCAATGCAGCTGACCCATGGACACATGCTGTTAACTGTAAGTCAAAACAGAAAAAATGGCCATGAATGAACTACTGTAACAAAGATAGAAGCCATTTAAATAACAACAGTAATAGAGATGTATATAGAATATCTGGATACAATACTACAAATCTTCAACTCAATAAAAAAGCAACATCACAATAATTTGCCTCCTTCTCATAAAGGAACATGCTAATAATTGTATCCTCAATTAAAGTCTGTAAGCCCTCCCTGCAAACATTTAGTTTCCTTTAAATATGGCTTTGTACGCACAAGGCTGCCACTGAAAATCGCAAAGGCAACAGTTTATGCTGCCCTCATTGTATTTTGAACCAACACACAAGAGCAGCACCTTATGTTATGAAGGTTCCATTCAGGCGGCGCTCACAACACAGAGTGGCTTTGTGTGTTTTGGTTTTTTTGTTTTTAAATCACCTTGTTTGGCAGCTATCATCACCCAAGTTTATAAACTCCTTCAAGGATAAAGAAAATATTAGGGAAATTGGTGCAGAATCGGCTGAACGTAGAAAGAACATGATCAAACACTCCCATTCATTTTATAGAACTACCGCTTGCCACTGTACAGCAGAAGCTGGAGACCCATGCCTGAATATTAAATGCAATCTCTGTAATAGATGAAGCAGAAATAATTCATTCAGAACCCCTCTATGTTTAAAGTACTGCAAATGGGAAAAAGTAAAGTGCAAAAGGAAAGGTACGAGGCATATTGCACTCTTTCTACTTCATCTCACTGGGAGCAAAAAACAACTAATTGAAGGAAGAACCAGAGCAAGCTTACGGAGTGCATTCTCTTAGGTGAAGAAGCACAAAATTGCAGCCTAAATCTATGTTGGGTCAATTTGCCCAGAAGTGCTATTCGGCATCAATTACTAGAAATATTCCTGCTTGGTTGTACATCTTAAATTCTACATATGTTTATGAGACAGCAAAATAGGTAGAAACTTTCAAATCATGCAGTTCACTTTTAAAAATGCTCTCTCACCCTGGAGGTTATTTGGCTTTGACAACCAGTATTCTGACATGCATAGAAAGGCTTGGCGAGGGAAATCTCTGACTTTTTTTTATTTTCATTTTTTGCATAATGGTTGTAGCCCAAACTGCAGGCATAGGTTTTGTAAAGCAGCTTCCATTTTTATCAAAAAAACAATTTAGCTTGGAAAGGCACAAATAAAAGAAGTAAAGAAAATGCCCTGGATGCATCTTTCTATCTTGACTAACACAAATGCATAGGACTACCTGAGATTCCTTAGATACTTCCGCTCTCATCAAGAGAAACATAAAATAGATTTGGGCAGTTATATTTCCTATAAAACTTGTTGTGTTCCTATCAATCTCTTCTTCACATGTTAAAGATCCAAAGAAATAAATTATTTTAGGAATGAATTTCACTCTGCATAAAAGTAGCTCCTTCATCATCCTTCCTCCTCCACAAAGTTCTTTAAAAATGGTCTAGTAAACCGATATAGTTTAGCTTAAGGATCTCACACTTGCCAAAACATTGGGCATTTACAATGGGTCAGCAATATGCACCCTCTGTTGGTGACTTATTCTTTCATCTAGCCAGTTTTTGCATCAACTGAAATTTCTGGTAGCATCAATACTTCAGGGGCTACCAGCAAACAGCTCCATGTAGAACCATAAAGAGAGCATCATCATGAACCCAAGATCACACCTGTCGGAGTTTCAAATGCAATCTATGAACCCTTCTTCCTAAGTCTTAGAGGAACCATAGCCCTTTAAGGTTAGAAAGGAGAAAGAGGTGGTGGTCTTGAGCCAGGATAAGCACCTGTGACTGAAATCCTGGTGGAAAATAGCTGGCAATGGTGAAAGCAATAATAGGGCCTATTCACACAATCACACAATCAGGGGGATATAAGCCCTGGTTGCTTATTCCGTCCTCTGTGATTGTGCAAACTCAATCACTCAATGGGCGATAGTAGGAGTGGAGCAAGTAAAGAGGACGAACGTCTAAACCTAAACAGGCTACACCAATTTCATAAGAGAGAAACTTCAATTTTCTAAGAATCATTATCCTCAGCAGCATAAGTATTGCATTATTTTTATATTCTGCCTTTCTTCCTCTTGCAAGGAACCCAAGGTTACATCACGACAACAGTGGGAGTTAGGGCAGATTGGGAGTTCGTAACTGGTCCGAAGTCACCCAGTCACTCACTCTGGAATCCCCAGAGTCCTGGTCTAACACTCTGCCACCCTGGTTCTTGAACAGGCCAAAAGACAGGACAAAGCTGACGGCACTTAAAAGACAGCTTCTTGAACGAATGCTGAAGACACCCCATTTGATGAAGCTGGGGTCTTACATTCCCAGAACAAGGTGTGAAGCTGTACTAACAGTTGTCTCAGAGACTCAGTTGGCTTTACAATGCACAAGGGATAAAAGCAATGAATCTTGGACAGTAGCTTAAGCTCATCACCTTCCTCTGGTCCTTTAGAAGATCTCCTGCCCCACCAGCCAGGGGTCAGGATCTAGGGATATGATTCCACCAGCAGAGAGCTGAAACTTTCTTAGTATAGTTGCTGCAGGGAAGTCCAGAGACCAGTTGACATTATGCTCGGGTGCTAAATTTAGTATAAGTGGGTTAAGAAAGACAGAAATCACAAAGGAAGACAGTGTGGAGTGGTGGTTAACTTTTGCCTTTCTTAACTAGTCAGGCCTACTTTATATATGTTTTTGAAGGCAGGTAACATGAAAGAATACTTCTGTAACCTAAAATAGACACATGAGAATGCTAACGATATCATTTCTACCATTAATGTGATTATAATCAAAATGATTAACAGGGTTATATGCAAGAGAAGCAAATTACCATGCAAAAGAGGTGCTAGACTAACCACCTCCCCCTTATGTGGCTACCCCAAAATGTTTGTGCCACTACATCAGACAACATGTTCCTGCTTCCAAAATGGCTGCTCCATCACACCCACCATCTTCCTCAGACAGGTACCTCCAAGATCACTGTTTCCTCACACTTACGTCAAACAGTGAGTCGTTATGTAAGTTACCAAGCAAGCCTGACAGACTTTTTAAAAAATTACGACCACCTTATTAATAGCACCATTTGAACTATGAGAGAGATTAACATGAATTTTGCTTCTTTGGACAAGTCCTTTCCATCCGAAAGGGAGCCAGCTAAAACTATTCCAGATGAACTAGATTGTGCTTCCATGCAGATATATCATGCACACAATAGGTTGAACACTGCCTTCTAATTTTTAACCTCTACCTAACTGCATTTTTGGTGCTATAATAGAGAATGACTATACTTGCAATGTACGTCGGATGAAGAGAACTTAAGTCATTTTGTGTGCCTGTCATCATACATGCAATTTATTTTCAGTCTGCATTGGGATTGAGTATTCTGCCTAAGGGAGACTTCTTAGAAACATCAGAGACCATTAGTGCACTGAAATGCAAGTCCTCCTGTCAGGAGAATAGCAGACCATGCAGAAGGACTCCAAAGATGACCCCCTCCCCAAATCAGGACAATGCTGTCGGAGAGAGGAACGTTTCTGTGGGTTCCTTCCACAAGGTCCAGGGCTTTCAACTTTCTTCAGTAGCACTGGAAGAAGCCTGCTGTGACATCTTCTACATTGCTCAGTGAGCAAGAGATGGGACTTTAGCTGGCCTTCAAAAGAAAGAAAACAAGGGCCTGAAAGTCCCTCAAGGGCATGACTAGGTCATGGCATTCCAGTCAAATAAGGGTGAACAAAGACCCACACAGACAGACCATAAGAGATGAAAATGGGCACTGAAAAACACTGCTTGGTTGTCCTATGTTTCCTAGCAGTGTTATCCCCAAGGAAGGGGCGGGGTGTTGGCCACCTGGAGCACACTGTTCGGGAGTGGCCAGGAAAGCTCCAAGGCCTCTGGCAGCTGTTCATACCTCATGCTTTAAGAGGATTTTGCTTAGAGAAAGATCTGAATAGATTCAACAAATCTAAGGTATCTCAGAGAGCTATGCTTGCATTTCAGAATTATTTGACCATCTGTGTTATAAATTTCCATCATAAATAAGTAGCAGGGGGAAAATACTTCTTAAAAAAATAAGCAGACGAAAAACAAGGGACTACAATTTTGAGCAGTACTGTGTGCTCTTCACTCAGATTAATCTAACAGGATTAAATATGGAAAAGAAGAGGGCCTGAAAGCTCCTGAGGGATATCATTAGGGCAAATTGCCAAAGAATGAAACATGAGCCAGGCAGGAGAGACTGGAAGATGCAGCAATACCAAGGGGCTTAAATGTTCGACAGTTGGAGCTTCAGTAATGTGTGAACTGCGGGTTGCAGTATCAAGAGACGCTGTTCACTGACACATAGAATGTCACTATTGACCACCGAACTGGCCAAGCTTGACAGCTATACTACGGGGCAGCCAAAGATGTCATAATTCCACAGTTAAGCTGCCCATTTCTGATTATTTTTCCCCAACCTCTATGCCAAGCAGCTGCAATTTCACAGAGTTGCATTTCTTCCCCTTTCTTACATAAGATAACTGCCATTTTAATTACTGTGTTCCTGCTAGAGTGATAATTTAATGTTTAAGCAAATGAATAGCTTGTCTTCCTCCGTAATGTTTATTCTGTTGGATATGTTTCCAATTACTTTCCTATATAATTTCCCTAATACTCATGACACACTATCATCAAGTTCTATGTTTCCAAGTCTTTTTTTTAAACAGACTAACAAATCAGGAATTTAAATATTAAAACTTGCACTGCTCCTGAGCTAGGGAACCAGAAACATGGCATAGTCTTGATACCCCCTGGCTGCTGAAACAACAGGGCACAAGTCAGGTAACCTCAGTCCCTCTAGGGCTCTCCAGACTGTGATGTGCTCTTCCCCTAGTGCCACCCCTTTTATCCAATCATAATTATATTTTATGTATTTCATTTCGATGCCACCCAACAGCCTGAGTCCTTTTGTGGACTACAAAAGTTCAGAAAAATTGCTACAAAAACAAAATGCCATAAAAT